GAGTTTATTGAGGGTTTTTAGCATAAAGGGCTGTTGAATTTTGTCAAATGCCTTCTCTGCATCAATTGAGATAATCATGTGGTTTTTGTTTTTGGTTCTGTTTATGTGGTGAATTACGTTGATAGACTTGCGTATGTTGAACCAGCCTTGCATCCCCGTGATGAATCCTACTTGATCATGATGAATACGTTTTTTGATTTGCTGTTGCAATCGGCTTGCCAATATTTTATTGAAGATTTTTGCATCTATGTTCATCATGGATATTGGCCTGAAGTTTTCTTTTCTCGTTGGGTCTCTGCCGGGTTTTGGTATCAGGATGATGTTGGTCTCATAAAATGATTTGGGAAGGATTCCCTCTTTTTGGATTGTTTGAAACAGTTTTAGAAGGAATGGTACCAGCTCCTCCTTGTGTGTCTGATAGAATTTGGCTGTGAACCCATCTGGACCTGGGCTTTTTTGGTGAGGTAGGCTCTTAATTGCTGCCTCGACTTCAGACCTTGTTATTGGTCTATTCATAGTTTCAGCTTCCTCCTGGTTTAGGCTTGGGAGGACACAGGAGTCCAGGAATTTATCCATTTCTTCCAGGTTTACTAGTTTATGCGCATAGAGTTGTTTGTAATATTCTCTGATGATGGTTTGAATTTCTGTGGAATCTGTGGTGATTTCCCCTTTATCATTTTGTATTGCATCTATTTGGTTGTTCTCTCTTTTATTTTTAATCAATCTGGCTAGTGGTCTGTCTATTTTGTTGATCTTTTCAAAATACCAGCTCTTGGATTTATTGATTTTTTGAAGGGTTTTTCGTGTCTCAATCTCCTTCAGTTCAGCTGTGATCTTAGTTATTTCTTGTCTTCTGCTGGGTTTTGAGTTTTTTTGATCTTGCTCCTCTAGCTCTTTCAATTTTGACGATAGGGTGTCAATTTTGGATCTCTCCATTCTCCTCATATGGGCACTTATTGCTATATTCTTTTCTCTAGAGACTGCTTTAAATGTGTCCCAGAGGTTCTGGCACGTTGTGTCTTCGTTCTCATTGGTTTCGAAGAACTTCTTTATTTCTGCCTTCATTTCGTTTTTTACCCAGTCAACATTCAAGAGCCAGTTGTTCAGTTTCCATGAAGCTGTGCGGTTCTGGGTCTGTTTCTGAATTCTGAGTTCTAACTTGATTGCACTATGGTCTGAGAGGCTGTTTGTTATGATTTCAGTTGTTTTGCATTTGTTGAGCAGTGCTTTACTTCCAATTATGTGGTCAATTTTAGAGTAGGTGTGATGTGGTGCTGAGAAGAATGTGTATTCTGTGGATTTGGGGTGGAGAGTTCTGTAAATGTCTATCAGGTTTGCTTGCTTTAGGTCTGAGTTCAAGCCCTGGATATCCTTGTCGATTTTCTGTCTGGTTGATTTGTCTAGTATTGACAGTGGAGTGTTAAAGTCTCCCACTATTATTGTGTGGGAGTCTAAGTCCTTTTGTAAGTCATTAAGAACTTGCCTTATGTATCTGGGTGCTCCTGTGTTGGGTCCATATATGTTTAGGATCATTAGCTCTTCTTGTTGTATCGATCCTTTTACCATTATGTAATTGCCTTCTTTGTCTCTTTTGATCTTTGTTGCTTTAAAGTCTATTTTATCAGAGATGAGAATTGCAACTCCTGCTTTTTTTTTGCTTTCCATTAGCTTGGTAAATCTTCCTCCATCCCTTTATTTTGAACCTTTTTGTATCCTTGCATGTGAGATGGGTTTCCTGGATACAGCACACTGATGGGTTTTGGATTTTTATCCAATTTGCCAGTCTGTGTCTTTTGATTGGTGCATTTAGTCCATTTACATTTAGGGTTAATATTGTTATTTGTGAAATTGATACTGCCATTTTGATGCTAAGTGGCTGTTTTGCCTGTTAGTTGTTGTAGATTCTTCATTATGTTGAAGCTCTTTAGCATTCAGTGTGATTTTGGAATGGCTGGTACTGATTGATCCTTTCTATGTGTAGTGCCTCTTTTAGGAGCTCTTGTAAAGCAGGCCTGGTGGTGACAAAATCTCTGAGTACTTGCTTGCTCGCAAAGGATTTTATTCTTCCTTCACTTCTGAAGCTCAGTTTGGCTGGATATGAAATTCTGGGTTGAAAGTTCTTTTCTTTAAGAATGTTGAATATTGGCCCCCACTCTCTTCTGGCTTGTAGTGTTTCTGCCAAGAGATCTGCTGTGAGTCTGATGGGCTTCCCTTTGTGGGTGACCCAACCTTTCTCTCTGGCTGCCCTTAGTATTCTCTCCTTTATTTCAACCCTGTTGAATCTGACGATTATGTGCCTTGGGGTTGCTCTTCTTGCAGAATATCTTTGTGGTGTTCTCTATATTTCCTGCAATTGAGTGTTGGCTTGTCTTGCTAGGTGGGGGAAATTTTTCTTGATGATGTCCTGAAGAGTATTTTCCAGCTGGGATTCATTCTCTTCGTCCCCTTCTGGTACACCTATCAAACGTAGGTTAGGTCTTTTCACATAGTCCCACATTTCTTGGAGACTTTGTTCATTCCTTTTTGCGCTTTTTTCTCTGATCTTGGTTTCTCGTTTTATTTCATTGAGTTGGTCTTCGATTTCAGATATTCTTTCTTCTGCTTGGTCAATTCGGCTATTGAAACTTGTGTTTGCTTCACGAAGTTCTCGTATTGTGTTTTTCAGCTCCTTTAATTCATTCATATTCCTCTCTAAGGTATTCATTCTTGTTATCATTTCCTCGAATCTTTTTTCAAATCTTTTTTCAAGGTTCTTAGTTTCTTTGCATTGATTTAATACATGATCTTTTAGCTCACAAAAGTTTCTCATTATCCATCTTCTGAAGTCTAATTCCATCATTTCGTCACAGTCATTCTCCGTCCAGCTTTGCTCCCTTGCTGGTGAGGAGTTTTGGTCCTTTCCAGGAGGCGAGGTGTTCTGGTTTCTGGTGTTTTCCTCCTTTTTGCGCTGGTTTCTTCCCATCTTTGTGGATTTGTCCGCTGGTCATCTGCGTAGTTGCTGACTTTTCGTTTGGGTCTCTGAGTGGACACCCAGAATGTTGATGATGAAGTATTTCTGTTACTTGGTTTTTCTTCTGCCAGTCTAGCCCCTTCGCTGTACGACTGCTGAGGTCTGCTCCAGACCCTGCCTGTCTGGTGTGCACCTCTAGTAGCTGTGGCACAGCGAGGGATGCTACCAGTTTCTTTTTCTGCTATCTTTGTCCCAGGATGATGCCTGCCTAATGTCAGTCTTTTGGATATAGAGGGGTCAGGGAGCTGCTTGAGGAGACAGTTTGTACTTTATAGGGGTTTAATTGCTGAGCTGTGCACTCTGTTGTTCATTCAGGGCTGTTAGGCTGCTATGTTTGATTCTGCTGCAACAGAGCTCATTAAAAAACCCTTTTTTTTTTTTTTCTCAAATTCTCTGTGTTTGGGGGGTTTGGGCTTTATTTTTGGATGTCCAATCAGGTGTCCTGCCCAGCTAGAAGGCAGACTAGCCACTGTTTGGCTGCCGAGGCTCCGCCCTGCTGTTGTGTGATTCGCGCTGTTCCTGTTGGCTCTGCTGTGGTCTCCGCCACGCCCTGCAGCGGAGTCTCTTCGTTGTAGCGTGTTGCCTCAGCAACGGCAGGCTGCGTCAGCAGTGGGCGTGTATCTCAGTAGGGATGGGTTGCCTCGGCAATGGCTGGCTGCGTCAGCAATGGGCGTGTATCTCAGTTGGGGCGGGTTGCCTCGGCAACGGCTGGCTGCGTCAGCAGTGGGCGTGTATCTCAGTTGGGGCGGGTTGCCTCGGTAGTGGTGGACGCCCCTCCCCCACAGAGCATCTCGGACCGTCTGCTCGGGATAGTTTGAAATCGCGGTTTTGTTCATCCCACTGGGTATCCCAATCCCTGGAATCCCCTGGGCTGGCCTACTGTCCAAGTCTCGTTCAGTCTCAAGTCCAGCCCTCTCAAGTCTCAGGTTGCCGGTTCAACAGGGCACCCAGTCAAGCGCGCCCTGTGGGGATTGCTGGGTAGGGCCGGCCGCCGCCGCCCCGGCTGCCGGCTTCGCCAGGCAGACCTACTGCCTGGCGTCCCGTGTCTTTTTTATACTTGGGAGTTTCCCCGTTCTGTGGGCAACAAAGATCAGTCTGGAAATGCCGCTCTGACTCACCGTTTGCGGATTCAACGAGAAGAGCTCCAATCCTGGGTTGTTCTCACAGCGCCATCTTGAGTCCTCCCCTTGAACAGTTTTAAATATTGATTGAGAATTTCTTTTGTTTTTCCCTTCACCGTCAAAGACCTCTCCAAAAGAACCTTTATTGTTATCAATTTGTGTCTGTTTCTGTATAAACAAATCAGTTTTTATGTGCTTAAATAATCTGATAAAAATCATCGTCATAGGTATTTCTATACACATACATCTATGAGTCACATAAATATAATTCAGAACTTTGTTATTTTACTTAAGCCTTGGACACCTGTTAATCTGGATCCTTTTTACATTACTAAAGAATATTCCATCGTACAGATAAATTATAGTTTATTTAATTATTTATACATCAATTGGTAGGTAGTTAATTTTTTAACTCTATTTTAAATATTGCTAAGGTGAAAGTTCTCATTCAAGTCTCTGTTACCATGAACAAACATTAGAGTGTAAAATGAGGGCAGTGCTAAGATTTAGAATTTCTGGACTAAAGAGCAGATGTACAAAATACTAATTTAGATTGCAGCTTATGAAAGTGTGTGCTCCCCACACATTCATCAATATGCAGCTTTGTGTGTGTGTGTGTGTGTGTGTGTGTGTGTGTGTGTGAGAGAGAGAGACAGAGAGAGAGAGAGAGTCTCACTCTGTCGCCCAGGCTGGTGGGTAGTGGCATGATCTCAGCTCACTGGCTCACTGCAACCTCTACCTCCCGGGGTCAATCATTTTCAAAACTCTTTAACATTGACAAGGTGAACAGCACATTCTCTCTTCCTGGGTTGCCTTTAGTAATGAAACTGAGTGGCTAGAGGAACACCATCTCATCAGTCCTAACTCCATTAATATTTTCTTTGAAGAAAGAGTTGGATCAACCCCTGGCGAATCTGCTTGGTCTTAACACTGTAGATGATGGGGTTGAGCACAGGTGGCACCAGAAGATAGACATTGGCCAGTAGGAGGCGAACAGCAGGTGCAGCATGCTTCAGGAAGCGGTGTACCAGAGCCACACTGATCATGGGCACATAATATACAAGGACTGCACAGAGGTGTGATACACACGTGTTGAGGGCTTTCCGCCGCCCCTGCCCAGAAGTAATGCCCAGCACCGTGTAGAGAATCAGCACGTAAGAGACTACAATGAGCAGGGAGTCCAGTCCAATAGTGGAAGTGATGATGCAGAGCCCCAGAATGCTGTTGGGAAGAGTGTCCCCACAGGGCAGCTGAATTAAATCTGAGTGCAGACAATAGGAGTGAGAGAGGGTGTTGTGGCCACAGAAGGGCAGACGCTTCAGGAGAAAGGGCAGTGGAAACATGAGCATCACACTCTTCATTCCCAGGGCAGCACCAGTACCAGCAATACAGGGCAAGGTCATGATAGCAGTGTACTGCAGTGGGTTGTAAATGGCCACAAAGCGGTCCACAGACATGGCCAGCAGAACTCCTGACTCCATGATGGAAAACGAATGTATGGAGGACATCTGCAAAAGGCAGGCTTCAAAGCAGATCTTGTTGGCACTAAAAAGGAAGATGCCCAGCACAGTGGGCAGCGTAGAGGCAGAGACACCAAGCTCTGCAAAGGCCAGCATAGCTAAGAGCAGGTACATTGGCTGGTACAGAGAGATGCTTCTCTTGATCACAGTCAGGATCAGGCTATTACCCATGAGGGCCACAAGATATATGGAACAGAATGGAAAGATGAACCAGGGATAATGTGCCTCCAGACCAGGGAGACCAGTCAGCAGAAAATATTTTGGGGTGAATTGACTGCTGTTGAACATTTTCTCATGTCTGTAGTTTTCGTATTTGGCCTAGGCATATGACACAAAAATAACCTGTGGTAAAAAACATCAAGTTAACAGATTGTCGACTGAGAGGGGCTGTAAATTCCTCTGCCTAGTACTATCACTCAAGTCATTTATCTTCTCACATTCCATGACTAGTTCAATTTGGTCTTCAATACAAGAAAATGTAGAGTCATGACTTACAGATAGGTATATTACTAAAACAAAATAATATGATAACAAATTGTATTATCACAATTTAAACTAATTCCCATAATAACTTTAAAGTACATATGTGGTCAATGTTTCCCATTTCTCTAGCAAGAGATAGCATTGAGTAGTTTAAAGAAGATAAGGCGGGCACAGTGGTTCTCACCTGTAATCCCAACACTTTTGGAGGCTGAAGCAGACAGGTAGCTTGAGCTCAGGAGTTTGAGACCAGACCTTGAGCTCAGGAGTTTGAGACCATGGGCAACATGGCAAAACCCTATCTCTACCAAAAACATAAAAATTACCCAGGTGGCATGGTGCACACCTGTAATCCCAACCACTCAGGAGGTTAAGGACAGAGGATATCTTGAGCTCAGGAGGTGAAGATTGCAATGAGCCAAGATGGTGCCACTGCACTCCAGCCTTGGTGACAGGGCCAGATCCCATCTCAAATAAAAACTAAGTAAGTAGATAAATAAATAAATAAGACACAATTGGAAAGATGCTGAAATAAAAAAGCTGTAATCTATCAGTCATTCTATACATCTCTATTAGGGCATGGTGAACTTTCAGTGACTGATAGGGACAATAGTTAAAGAGTAACATTACCTCAATGTTAGTGTAGAATTGCCCAAAAGATAAAAGACTCTAGATATCCATCCCTGCCATTCCAAGCAGCACAAAATACTCTCTTCATTGGAGTGTAGAATTATCAGGTTTTACCTAGGTAAAACATCTCTAAAATGGTCTCAATTCTCCACGTTCATTTCACAACCTCTTGGTTGATCACATTGGTTTTTACACATGAAGAGGAAGGAGAAGAAATGAACTTATGTTAAGGAAGGTTAATGGAAAGAAGTTTTCTATTTTTCCCACTGGAATTCCTGTTAATGGAAAGAAGTGTTCTATTTTTTAAGAAAAATCCTCTCATTTCCAATTCACATTTTGGAGTATACTTAACCCATGTTTACTGTGTGAATGGCATAATGGACAGGAGTATGGACCTGCAGACCATGTTTCTAAAACTGCAAAAATGATGACTTCTTAAAAAATTCATGATGGTCTCAAAAGTTTAATCTACCATATAACTTTAATCAATGATGACAGAAGTGTGGATGCCTTCTGTAACCCTGCCTAGGAAGGCAACCTGCATCTCTTTACATCACTCAAGATAAATATATCTGTTAAGAGAGAGGAAGGGACCTCTGCTTATCAACATGTATCTGTGAGGAAACCTCAACACCTCAGGACTGGAGGTTATTCAAAATCTCTGTGTTAGAAAAAAACGCATGAAGAAAAGTAAGTCATATCTTTTATCACATGAAGAAAACATCTAACTCCTTGTTGGAAACAATTAAATCACATGACATGGAGGAAACTTATTGGAGATGAGAAAGCTGGAGATATTAAGCTATAGGACAAAATTGAATCTACAGACTTGGCTTTAAACTCCTGATTTCTACTTTCTAGTGGGCTAAATTTTGGAGCTTGACCTTTTATAAAATGAAGATTTTATTTTATTATAAAATTTATTTTATTACTTTATTTTATTATATAATTTTATTGTATCTATAATAAAATTAAGGGTAGTGAATATAAAAGCATGTACAAGAGAGAGCCTTATATGCTATACAGTAGTTGTCAGTTCCAAGAGAGTAATATTGTCTACTGTGACAGACATTGGGTCTCAGGATGGACCCATGATGTCTCACCAAGGGATTAATATAAAGGGTACCTTAACTTGGAACTACTCTAATACTTTGGGTCTTATGTCTTTTCTAATTAATATTTTTGGGTGTACATCCTATCTTTCAACTCCATCCTCCCATGCCTCAGTTCAGCATATTAGTTATTTTATTTGTGTAGATTATTTACTGCTACCAGATTTTATGTCTTGAATTTTTAGATTTCAGAGCAGTATGCTTAAGAGGTAGGATTGCTGGCTATGAGAGCATACTGCCTCAGGGAAACCCTGGATCGGTCACTTTCTGTCTGGCTCATGATTTCTCCATTAATTAGAGCAGGGTTAATTAATTATAATATCTAGCCCTATAGGCACGCTTGAGGCTTTAAAAATTAATATATATGGAGCAGTCAGCATACAATACTTTTACTCTATGCACTTATTGTTGGTTGAAATAAGAGTATTAATAATATCATCACTATATGTCAAGCATTTAATTTTTATACAAGCTTTTTAGTATTTAGGCATTTTATCTCCATCTTTGTAGATAATATTCAGTTTTCTGAAGTTAGGCGATTTTTTAATTGTTCAAAATTTTCTGGACTGATGATGTCTGTGTTGTTTCTTTAACCCAGCCTTATTATACTAAGACCTTTCAAGTATCTAGAATGTCTCCAAGAAATAATTTAACCTTCTTGAAGAGAAAACACTGGTTCTCACATGTGTTAAAAAGGGTCACTATTTTCCATAAACTTCTCAGAGCATTAAACAAAAATAAAACATTTGCATGAGAAATTAGTAACTGCATAGAACTGTCGGAGTACTGAGTATCAACTGCCATGTAAAAGGGATTAGAAAATATTTGAGATACAGTATACCTGTCCAAGACAGGGATTAAGGGGAGGCAGAAGTATCTGGAATCCATCCTAAATTTGGGCTTGTCATCTTTATAGACTGCTGGTATGTTCATCTTAGGAACACAAATAAGAAGTGAATAAAACAATAAAACTGATTTTAAAAGACACGCCTTCTGGCACTTCAAGATGGTCTGGTGGAAGAGAAGTTGGTGTCATCTGAACATAATCTGTAAGTTTGAATAATTATAAGGAGATCAGTAATATGTGTTCTATGCCACTGTTTAAGACGAAAGAAAACTTCTCATATGCAACTCTTCTTTGAATTATACAACTCTTAATGCCTGTGAGTTGTTGTTGAGGATATTTAACTCCTTTACTTGAGTACTCTATAAATCCCAACACAGGATTATCTTTCCTTTCCCCTTTTTCTTGGATATTCTCTTTGATTACCTCTCTGCTTGGTTGTTTCTTGATTGCTGTTATTATTAATTTTTTTTCTTTTCCTTTCCTTAGCACTGTGGAATTCAGTTCAACTAAAAATTGTATTTTAAAGCAAATCCAATCTTCTTTAACTTACTAAATCCAGTTCAGATGTTAACTTTTTTGTGATGTCTTTTCTCACCCATGCATGCAGTAAATCACTTTTGATAGCAGTCTCCCTCAACAATTGTAGTTTAGTTATTTATGTGACTTTCTCCTAGAGAAGACCTAGAGCCTCTATTTTCAGCATATTACCAAATCTTAATACATGAGAAGGGAGAAGGGGAAGGAAGGTAACAGAAAGGAATGTGCACACTTACATACAGTGATGTTAGTCTAAACTGGGAATTTGGCGAAAATAAGACTGTCTTCCTTTATTGAATGAGGGCATCTTTGAGGAGAGAGAAATAATCTATATGTTTTTACTTCACTATATAAGAGGAGTTGTTATTGTAAAAAGTCAGGGATGAATGCTAATGAATGAGGTGCTAGAGTAGACAGGGAAGTATTATAAGGAGAGGTTAAAACTGGTGTTTGGTTGGGAAGAAGGCAAGGAGAAGAAATAGAATGTGTTAATCTAGTGCTATGTATTAGGCACTTCAGAAAGGTGATTTGAGTATGTTATCATTAGATATGTCATCTTATTTATCTTCAAACTTCTCAAAATGACCTAGTCACACCATTTTACAACTTGGAAGAGACAAAAATCGATATTTCAAGTGACTTAACCAAAGTCATAGAACTACTCTGTGACAAAACTGAAGTTGAAGTTAGGAGAGAGAGTCTGAGCAAAAGCCATACAGGGAAAGCAGTAATAGCAGACAAGAGGTGAGGGTGGAGGTGACGCTGGGTCAGACAGAGAAAAATGAAGAAGTGAGAAGTGGCAGTCATCAGGGGAGTTGGGTTTGTTATGCAGCTGGCTGCATGAGATGAAGGAGCCAAGGCCTTTGCTACGAAAAACAAGAGTGGAGGGTAAACAGACCTATGAAAGAAAGACATTAAAAAACAGAATCAAGTGTTTCGATGATAAATAACTAGATTTGAAGACAAATTAGACACTTTCTTCCCCTAGGTTTTAAGTGTTCCACTCTTACCATAAGAATTTTTGCCACACACAACTTGTCTGTGTCTCAAAAGAGAAGGATTTTTATGACACAAGGAAAGGGAAAACAAAATGTGTATTAGAAATGAACTACAACTCAGAAAAAAAAAACCCTAGGAGGTTTTGCTCACCTGAACGAATTTTCTGTCCTCCTGATTCCAAAGCCCAGGCTTCTAAGGGTGAGCCCAAGCCCTCCTCTGTGAATCTTAACAAGCTCGGATGTCAACTCTTCTGTGATGTTTTTTTCCCACTCATATATATAGTTAATCACTTACCTTTCATTCTAGTTTGTCCCAGACCTGGTGTCCAGTGCCCCAGCTGGAGACAGAGGCTGACTAGTTTTTATATTTATTATGACTCCAGAACTAGTCCTTCTTGTTTCCCAATTTTGCTGGTCAATCCTCTGGGAGACACAGGCAAATTAGTCTTAAAAGGGTGTGCTGCTTGTGGGCCTGCAGGTATAATTGGGCCAAAAACAGAGGATCTCAGAAGTACTCTCCGGGGAATCATAAGTCAAATTCTGAGAACATACAGAAAGTGTGTGTGTGTGTGTGTGTGTGTGTGTGTGTGTGTGTGTCTGTGTCTTTCTGTGTAAGATGATTTTATGTGCATGTGCACATTTGTAAGTTTATATAAATGTATGTGTAAACACATGTGTATGCCT